GGTTTTCAGTTTTTTGAAATGGTTATGAATAAATAGGCCAAGAAACCGAAAATCCTGAGGAAGGAAGGGGAAGATGGGTGTGGGGATTTAAGGGGAGTTGGGTCATTTTGAAGGAGGGAAAAAGAGGAATTGGGAGAAAATTTGACTGGAGAAAAGCGAGAAATAAATTCTTCATAAGACCGGTCTTTGGTCATAGGAATTATGGTTCAAAGCGAAACAGAGGAAAAGAAAGCAAAGCTGACTCAGTCTCATTCCTAACGGCAACTATTCGGGCAGTGAAATATCAAACCATTTCCCTTTCCGACCAAGCTTAACTGTTTTTAACATTTGCAAAATAGAGGAAAGATTCGAGGTATCCAGATGGAAGTCAGATGAGACGACCGAAGAATCTTCAAACGTAGTTTCCGCGTTAATGCATAGAAATGGTGATGGAGGGTGACGTTACGTCGCAATGCGTTTGCTTGCGCATGTTCATAGTGTAAACAATGGGGAAGGATTTTTTTGGGCCAACGGATTGAGCTTTCCTTTCTTCTCTCTTTTCTCAATAAAGAATTAATACTTTGATTGACTCGGGTTTTCTTTTTCTAGTACCAGGTGATCCTGTTAGATTGGTTATATATTTTTTTAGACAAGGGCATCAAGTTCACGTTTTAATTTTTTTTTAATGAATAAAATCAAGCACTTAATACCGATGTAGCTCAATATAGTTGAATATTCAAAATCTCTTTCCCAATTGTAAACTCGAATAAAATATTAATATTATTTGCATTATTTTACTCAATTATGAGAGAGTTGAATCTGTTGGGATATTTTAGCCTATGTAGTTGTGATTTTTGAATTTTTTAATGTTTATAAATTTTTTAATTGAAAATATAAAATTTGTTCATTTTTATGTGTTTTTATCATATATTATTATAATTATTAAAATAATAAATATAAAAACAATTTTAATATTACTAAACAAGTAGGTTGAAATTCTCAAATTTAACTCTAAGTATGGTTGAAGGGACAAAGGCACCTTCAAACTAAATAAGGACAAATCACCTTGAACTTGACAAATAATTTAAATTTAACTACTCATATCATATATTATTATCTTTCTATTATTACTAGCACTAATAAGAAAAAGTCAGCGTATCAAAAAAAGTAACAAACAATTAAATGTGATGTCATGTCATGTCATGTGAATAATTAAATTTAAGATAATTTATCTAACTTAACTAATTGGTGGGGTAATTCATCCTTACAGATAATTTGAGGATGGTTCTATCATTGCCTCTACACTTAGGGGTAGATTTAGGGATTTGACCAAACAAGTAAATATTTTTAATTGTTAGAATTGAAATTTATTTTAAACAAAAATTTTTTAATTTTAATTTTTTAATAATTATAAAATTTATAAAAACTAAAAATCACAATCATAAATTAATAGATGATTAATTTTCTCAAAAAGGGGTATTATTCTTTTTTTAAATAACTATATTATAATAAAATTTTATTTATTAACATAAAATGATACAAGGCACATAAATAAGGAATCTCTCATCCAATAGAATAAAGGATTTAATTGCAACCACAAACGCATCATATGAAACTCAAATGAAGATAAAAAACACACACAATTCAAAAATATTAAAAAAAAAAAAGAGTATATATATCACATTAGACATTACTTTTCAAAAAATTTTATAATATCAACTTCACAATCATAAT